TTATTTAAGACTTTAAAACCTTATTTACTTTAGTAATGCTTTAAAACAGACTTTTTTTTTATTGTTCTATAAGGCTTGCCAAAAGTTGGAACTAGTATTTTATAATCTTAATTCATTCTACTTAATTTTAATTCATTATATAAATTGGTGATTGATTGACTTACATATAAGTATACTTAACATACAAATAAAATGCCGTTTAATAAACGTATCGTTTTAACAAAATAAAATAAAATTAAATAAATTGAATTGAAATTTAGTAAAATTTAATAAAAATTATATCAAATTAGGTAAAATTCAGTGAAATTAAAAAACGTAAATAGAATTAAATAAAAATTAAACATAATTAAGTAAAATTAAATAAAGGTAAAATATAATTAAATAACATTAAACATATTTAAATAAATTGAGTAAAATTAAATATAATTATATAAAATTAAAAAAAAATAAACTAATTAAAATTAAATATAAATAACTAACATTAAATTCATATAAATAAAATTAAATAAAATTAAACAAAATTAAGAAACATTAAACAAAATTAAATAAAATAAGCAAAATTAAATAAAATTAAAAAATAAATAAATAAAATTAGCTCAACCCAACCTAACCACTTAATAAACAATATTAATTTTTAATTAACAAATTCTTAACAATGTCACAAATCAAATGAGACTTGGTCAACTAAGACATGGCAGCTTAATCCAAGCACATTGAGTGAAAAAATAAGAAATTAAGCAATATGTTTCATAAATTATCTGTTTAAAATAAATATTTTAATAGAGATTAAATGAATACAAGAAAAAATCATAACTGAAATAACAAATTCTCTATTTCCATAAGAAATTATATTTTTTAAAGGAGGAAACATTGTTCAATGTAGTGCGTTTAATCCATGTGCGCATCCTGTCATGGATGCCATATTTTGACATTTAAGTGAAAATATTACATTTTTAAATGAGACAAACAGAAAAATTAAAGCCATGTCCCAAAATATGTGAATTTAAAGTTGATAAGAAAGTTAAACAGAATCTATATATACAATTTTACATTCGTAATAACTGTGAGTCAAACGAATTTAATTACCAATATGTTAAATACACGCAACACATATTGTCGAATGTTTACATTGTCTTGAATACAGCGTTTGCTTTTAGAATTACGTAAGTGGCAATCAATACTTATAGAAAAACTTACAAGAAGTAAAACTTCCTTTGTAAAATAGTAAAAAAAATTATTAAAATTTTAAAATTATCCAAATGGATTTATAAATTTTCAGAACATTCTCGATCCTATCAGATCATTATCTATAAAGATCACTATAAAGAAAAAAGGTGGCGTCCTTTCGGCAATAAGATTATCATTTCTTCATTTATTATTTCTGGATTAGCTCTAGAAGCTATTATCTTGTATTCTATTCTTTTCTTTATTTGTAATTGTACTTTAGTTTATGTAACAAAGGAAATATTCAGAGAATCATGGCCACATCTCTTTCGATTCTGAGCAATGCAACCTTGTTAATTTTGTATGCTCCAAACTCTGTAACTTTTGTTGTGTCATAAAACTAATTAACAGTCACATTAGATCAAAACAATTTGTTTAAATGACGAAATGTTAACACACACAATGTAAGGTAGTGGAGCAATACAAATCCTCACGTTTGTCGTAAAACACAAAATCAACTTTCAGAAAAAGTAAATGTTCGGGCAGGAATTTTGGGAAACCAAATAATTGATCATGTTTTTCTTAATGATTACTTAACCAGTGAAGTGTATCTGCAGTATCTGCAGATGTTACCAAATGCAATTGAGCCGTTACTTGTTGAAATTCTGAATGATAAGATAGATGCATTCGACAACTAACTAGCAAGATGGTGCTCCTGCAAACTAGTATGATGCAGTAAGACGTTACCTAGATATACCCAACCAGACCTCACACAATTAGATTTTCTTCTGTGGGTCTACTTAAAATCTAAGGTCTTCGCTACAGCACCCGACAGTATTGACATTTTGAAACAACAAATTGTTGACAAATGTAAAGAAATTTCTTTCGACACATTTGAACGAGTACAACAAGAATTTGGCAATAGAATGTATTATTGTCAGAAAGTAGATTGAGCACATTTTGTACACTTAATAAAAGAACTGGTTTTTAAATCTTTATTAATTAAAGAAAAAACTACACAATATTAGTATTTATTTATTTATTCATAAAATCAGCTTAAACTAAATAAAACTGGTATGATATTATAGGTATTTTCAATACCTTTCAAAGGAGATATCACTAGCCATAAGGTCCCATCTAAAAGGATCGGTCACAGTGGATCCTTAATTATGTTATCTGTAAATCTATCATGTCACCTAACGCTGATCATTAATTAACGAGTTACTGACATTGATTAGTGATGAGTGTACTAGTGTCTGTAAGCTCGGGAGACTGAGACCTCGAAAGCTCTGCAGAAGACAACGAAGAGAATGTCGAAAGGTCGGGGCAATGATAACCGCCGCGGTTCTACCCGGAAGACTGTTAAGTTTAATTCCTATAATATCATTATATCTTAGCTCTAGGTTTAATTGTACTAACCGCGGAAACATTTCGGAAAATATGTATATATATATATACATATATACATATATATATATATTATATATATATATATATATATATATATATATATTTATATATATATATATATATATATATATAAAAGGATCACTCAACAGAGTGGTGGGCTCTTATATCGGTCAATTTGTAGGTGGAGAAATGAAAGACAAAGTTGATGTGCCACCCTATCTATTTTGAAGCCTTGCACCTGCTACCAGGAAAAAAATCATTGCTTTTTCCTGGTAGCAGGTGCAAGGCTTAGACCGGTAACTTCATTCATTTACACTATTTTTTTTTAAATTATATTAACATCTTTTAATAATGCTACCAAAAGTTAAAATTAAAGCTTAATAATTATCAATTGTTGAAGTTAATCGTTGATTTTCTTAGTTCTTTGCATTATTTAAGTTATAATTTAATATATTTTTTATACTTCGGACCACATGGTCACTCACTGTGCTAATTTTTAATAAGTCACTAAATGTTGTTAGTAATTTAAATGTTTATACATTTCTACTTTATAATGTCCATTTATTCAAGTTTAATTCATAAGCTTGTTAACATCTTTGACTACTACATGACTTTTTAAGAATGAACTGATGATGCTTTCAGAATACGAAAGCGAAACGTCTTCAAAATAGATAGGGTGGCACATCAACTTTGTCTTTCATTTCTCCACCTACAAATTGACCGATATAAGAGCCCACCACTCTATTGAGTGATCCTTTTATATATTGGAATTTGACGGTCGTACTCCTTTTTCCGATATATATATATATATATATATATATATATATATATATATATATATATATATATATATATATATATATACCTAGGAGGACAAATTCCTTATTAAACTTTCCGTGCTCGAATAGGCATCATGTAAGTGTTATAAATCATTTTGGCCTATCTCAGCCATCGTCAGACACTTGGGCTGATACAAATTCAAACTCGGAAAGTAAAACGAATGTCTCCCAGAATTTCGCTACAGCGTAGTTAGCTTACAAAGTCGCCCCCTGCTTTGGTGGTCGTGAACGAAACGATATGATAATATCGTTTTGTGTGTCCTTTGTGCTATGCGAAATATGTAAAGATTACGGTTTCGTTCACGGCCACCAAAGCAGGCGGCGCCTTTGTACGCTAACTACACTGTAGTGAAGTTCTGGGAGAGATTTGTTTTACTTTCCGAGTTTGAATTTGTATCAGCCCAAGTGTCTGACGATGGCTGGGATAGCCCCAAATGATCATAACACTTTAGTGATACCGATTCGAGCACGAAAAGTTTAACTAATTTGTCTTCTAGGCCATATATTTGGCCTTTTAATATAATAAAGCGATAGCGGCTTTCGCTAAAAGATTTAATCTTTACACATTTCGCATAGCACAAAGGATACAGAAAACGATATTATCATATCGTTTCGTTCACGGCCACCAAAGCAGGGGGCGCCTTTGTAAGCTAACTACGCTGTAGTGAAGTTCTGGGAGACATTCGTTTTACTTTCCGAGTTTGAATTTGTATCAGCCCAAGTGTCTGACGATGGCTGGGATAGGCCGAAATGATCATAACACTTTAGTGATACCGATTCGAGCACGGGAAGTTTAACGAATTTGTCTCCTAGGCCATATATTTGGCCTTTTTAATATATATATATATATATAATATATATATATATATATATATATATATATATATATATATATATATATATATATATGACGTGGATAAGTTCTAACTTCCCTGTCAACTCGTTTATTTTAAATATTAAACAAAATCGCTCGGGGAAATCGATTTAAAACCTCTTCCAATATTGAAGAATATTAAAGATTTCGGTATTTTGATTAATCTCCAAAAGGTAACAGCCACACCCTTAATTTTTTAAATAGTAAAAGGATCATGTGTCGCTTCATTTGTTTAATGTTTAAGTAATAATAAATATTACAACTATTAAATTATTAAATTTGAATAATAAAAACTCAAAATTTTTGTTGTTTGAGAAGAAAGGAAAAATAGTTTATACTACAGTCAATAGGTAATGGTGAACATTTTAAACACTTAACAAACTAAAGTTTTCAGTTTTTATTCACGTGAAATTTTCAAAATATTCTATCTAAACACGTTTTCCATTGTATTTCAATATATTTATAATACTAATCAATAACGAAGGAGAAATACTATTACTTACTTTAATACTTACTACTTACTTACTATACTTTACTTTCATTTTTAACCATAGTGTTATTGTTTGAGTACATTGTTTAGCTTTATAATTCCCACAAAATTTAAATATGGATTCTTTTATATTCTTAATATTTTCAATTAAAAAAATGAATCTATTAAATTATTCAATGTTTAGTTAAATTTCTGAATTAATATATATATAATCTCTTTTTAGAAATACCAGTAGTTAAAGATTTGGAAGTTGGCAGCAACTATTTGGATCACATACAAGCTTATGGCCTAACATTTTCCAGCAATCTATCAGAACCTATAAGTACAATCAGAGAAGCTATTGCAGAGTATTTAAAAAACGGTACCGGTTATCTATCTTCTGCTGTACCATCTTCAGTCCTAGGATTTTATCAAACCAAGCTAGAACCTATTAAAGATTATCCAGATGTAGAACTAGGTCTGTCAGATACGAATCTGACACTTGATGCAAAGTTCAGTTTTATGAAGTGGCGACCAGAGGTATCTGCTGCTATGAGTGGTGTTAACGCGGACAGCTCTTTTCAAATTTCCGTCGCTCCCTTGCATACCAAATCGGTGGGTACTATCCGACTGAATAGTGATAATCCTCTAGAATATCCTGCTATAAATCCAAACATTTTATCCGATCCCGAAGGGCATGATTTAGAGAGTATATATTTGGGAATACAATTAGTATTTAATGTAACCCAACAGGAACCATTTAAAAAAATTAATGCTACTTTGCAATTGAAACCAGTTCCTCAATGTAAAAACTATACATTTCTGAGTAGGGAATACTGGCGATGTGCAAGTAAATACGTCGTTGCCAACAATAATCATTCTGTAGGTACTTGTAAAATGGGTCCCAATCCAAAAGCGGGAGACGTAGTTGATAATAATTTAAGGGTACATGGAATTAGACGTTTACGAGTTGCTGATGCAAGTGTAATACCTCTTTCTACCTCAGGACATATTAACGCCATATGTTTTATGGTTGCTGAGAAGGGAGCTGATCTCATTAAATCCACTTATAAAAGACGGTAAAATATTATAAGTCAATTAATAAATATATTATTTATAAATTTATGTATTTGTTGTAACGATTAAAAGTCTATTTATTGTATTTTACGTATTTTATTTAATACTTTCCTTTTCTATTTCATAAATATAATTATCTAAAATAGAACTAGAACAAGAACAATAACTTTTAGGCAAGAACGACGGAGTGTGAACAAATTCAAACTCAAACTCAAAGAAGATAAGATAAATATCTAAAAGAAGAATATAAATTCCTTCTAAATTAAGAGGGAGGTAGTGGTGCAAATCCAGAATAAATTTGTACACAAGACAAGAATTATGATTAGACGTATAGAATCACGTATAAAAATCAAAAAACCATTAATTTTAAATCATCCATTTATATCTCCAGTTTAGGCTTTTAAAAGGTCATTATAGTATCACTGGCTTTATATATTTTTATTGTAATTTAAATATTTATTTATAATTTATCCAGATTTTGCCATACGGCTCACACTCCCTCTAAGGGAAAAATTCACTCATCCCAGATAGCTACGGTATCAAAAGAATTGAGCTCTAGTGGGATTCTTTCCGTATAATCGAGTCCTAGGTGACTTGATATGCTGGATAACGATTACGATGGTATGAAAAATTTTCGTACATATCTGGACGTCGCGAGGAGTACAGCTGTCTGCATGGCCTTATAAATATGTTCATTTATCATTTATTCATTCAGGTTTTTGGGAATAACTCCAGTATTAGAGATAATAATAGGTACTGCCTGGGTACTTTGTATTCTCTATTGTCTCCTGATTTGTATTTCTAGATTTCTGTACTTGGCGATCTTTTCGTTGTTTTTAATTCGAAAATTATTGGTAGTAGGTGTCCCCACATCAATATGTATTGTTTGCCTAGTAAGTTTATTAGCTAGTATGAGATCCGATCTATTATGTGAAACTGTTGGTCTGTGAGCACAATGCAGTACCAGTATAGCTTGTAGTTGTCATTTTCAAGTATTCTCTCAGGGACGTATTGATAGTGACCAAGATGGAGAAGTTTCAGTTTGTCAGTCAGTTCTTGGTGGATTATCCTTCCTACCTTACTACTTTTCTTTGCCGGTAAGATGTTGGATGGTTTCTTGGGCTTGGCATCCTTGGCATTTGTCATTTTGGATTTAAGGATCTTTAACAATTTATTTCAGGTAATTTTTAGTTGGAATAACCTGATCCTGAACATCAAGTAGGAAACCCTCAGTCTCGGGAAACATCTTTCATTTCTTATCTTTTATCCAGATTTAGCCATAGGGCTCACACTCCCTCTAAGGGGAAAATTCACTTATCCCAGATACCTAAGGTATCAAAAGAATTAAGCTCTGATGGAACTCTTTCCGTGTTATCAATCTCAAAGCGACTTGGTATGCTGGAGTATCTACCAAAAATGTTCGTATGCATCTGGACGTCGCCAGGAGTACAGCTTTCTGTATGGCGTTATAGATATGTTCATTTAGACCCATCTGTTTTATATTTTCTAGTAGGTTTTTGGGAATAACACCAGTAGTAGATAGAATAATACTGTCTGGGTACTTTTCATTCTCCATTGTCACCTGATTTATATTTCTAGATATCTGTACTTGAAGATCTTTTCCTTGTAATTAACACACAATTATTTGTGTTGGGTATCGCTACATCAATAAGTGTTGTTTGCTTAGTAAGTTCATTAACTAGTATAAGATCCAGTCTATTATGTACCACTGGTTGATCTGTGAGCACAGTGCGGTCCCAGTACAGCTTGTAGTTGTCATTTTCAAGCATTTTGTCAGGGACGTACTGATAATAAAGAAAATGGTCGGTTTGAAGAAGTTCCAGTTTGTCAGCTAGTTCTTGGTGGATAATCCTTCTGAGTCATAGCTTTCTTTTTAATCAGTATCGACAAACGCCTGGCAGCCACTGGTAAGATGTTGGATGATTTCTTGGGCTTGGCATCCATAAGGGTAATTGTCGTTTTGGACTAGAGGATCTTTAACAATATAGTTTTGGTAATTTTAGTTAAAATAACCTACTCCTAAATGGCAAGTAGGAGACCCTCCGCCTCCGGAAACATCTTTCCTGATGTCAACTAAAAGTTGGACGCTGTTTTGTCGATATATTCTTGACTGATCTTATTGAGATGTCACCCATGCAGAGATTTACCCATCCATTTCTTGTTTCCTCAGTTTAAGCGGCGTTGTATCATTTACTGCTCAAATTTCTCGATCTAAAGTAGATGTCTCAGCCTGCACCTGAAAATAAGTTAGCAGCTTGTTTATCCAATTGCTAACCTATGTCCATGAACCCTCTTCCACCTTGATACCGCGGTAGTGTTGTTCTCTCTGTTGCACTGTGTAGATGGTGTTTTTGCGTCTTTGTAAAAATGTTTTTACTTTCATCTGAAGACTTTTTATATCCGTCTTTGACCACTTTATAATACCAAAGCTCAGTGCGGAACAAGTGTACGTATTTAATGCCTTAAACAAATTTTTACTATTAAGGTATGACCGATTTAGTCTTCAGTATTAATATTTTTATTATAAAATAAATAGGGGCAGAGAACCGAATTCCTATTATACCCAAAAAAAAAAGAAAAATATTATTATAAAACTATTAAAAATTGTAGAGTTGCAATTAAGCACGTAAAACAAAATTATAAAACAATAAATGTTATCTACTAAATAGTACTATTATAGTTGCCGATATGGTGTCATGAACCAAATTATTTCAGATATTAAATATTTTGTTAGACAAGAAGCTCACCCGGGAGGACAAAACTGTGAGCTTTGGGACGTGGGTATATAAATCTGGGATGGGGATATATTTAAAAAAAATGAGAATTTAAACGTACCCATGAAAATGAGAGAATTTGTTAAGAAAAGAAAAGAAAATAAAATATAGGATGCCACCTAGTCATTTGTCGAGGGACGAGGAAAACTCGACACTTGACCTATAAAAAGATTAGCTTAAGAAAGATAAAAAAATACGATATGACTCGCTAAAAAACCAAAATTCATACATAGTTAAACAAAAAGAGAAACAGACACACTTATCTTATATTGTCGCTCTACATTCCTATCAGATTTACCTAATAAATTATCAGAAGAAAGGAAGATTATGAGAAAGTATTAAATAAATATTTGCTACAAGTTTACAATTTTTATTTCTTAAAAGTTCATCGAGGTAAAAGTCTTATAGAATGCCAATACATTATAAAAAAAAAACAGAATATAAACCAGGTAAACGATAAAAAAAATGTAAATTTAGACAAATCATACTTGATGCAATACCTTCATACCTGGGTAAAGCTAAAAGGTGAATTTAAATAGCAAAATTTAGCAAACATTTTTTCACATTACCTCAGTTATAACAAAATTATCATAATATTATCGGTATTATAACCTACCATCTATACAAAAATACCAATAAATTAGATAAACAAAACGGTGTAACAATTCCCCATGATCACGAAAGTATAAACATACAAACTTTTGAGTTGTACACAAAAAACAAAAATTATTACCGAATCCAAAACAAATTAAAGGACATAACCTATATAGAATAACGGGAGACTGCATTGCCTAAATACGTAGGCACTATATAATTATCAGGTATATTTCTTAGGTTCGCCAGAAAGAAAACATTCTGCAATCTTATCTCCAATATGCTGACAAGTTTTAAAATTAAATTTAACTTAGATCTTACTGCATACTTCACTGACTAATTTTATACGAGACACGTACTTAACTGTCACTAAAGAACAAACAGCCTGCTTGATCTGAACTTCATACCTCGTACTTCTACGATTGTTTACATGGAAGTAAATTTCGGACCAAATTTCTTTTCTCGCCAATGTTCATTCTCCCAAGTGGAAAATCCTTATTTATTTCATGCGTAATTCGTCACCTTGAGAATCAACATTTTATTTTTGCCTATTATAAATAAGTTATCAAATGTTTGGATTATTATTCACAGAAACGCAAAAAGATTAAAAAACTTTTCTGGCTCGCATGATTTACCGGGTGAAACAAAAATGCTACAACACATAATCACATATAATTTGGTTTCATCAGCGTAAATCAAAATCTTGGAATATCACTGGTGTAGATACAAAAGAGTAGTGGTCCAAGTACTGATCCTTGATAGAAAATATTAAATACAAATATTTAACTCTCGGTTAATGTTATAGTGCTTTAATTTAGCTAGTAATAGACGTTTAGGAATACTATCGAAAACTGTGGAGGAGTCTAAGCAGACTCTACTCCAAAAAGATGCCGATTGTTTAAAGATCACCGCCAATCGCTTACACAATGAAATAAGTTTGTGATTAGTTAACGACCCTTGATAAGGCCTTGCTGTTGGTGAGGAATGACATTTTCTTAAAGAAGAAACTTAGACATACCAATAGAAACCAGACTGATTTGATGATAATTATTGCAATCAAATTTATTTTCTTCCTTAAAGATAGGGGTAACCAAAACCAATTTCCAGGACGAGGGCAGAGAACCCTGATTATAAAAAGCAATCATTATGAGGGATATAGGAATAGCTGTAGATTCATTACATTGTTTAATAAAAAAGGAGAGTAGTACGTTTGATGAATTATTACGTAATTTTCGTAAATAGTGTTTAATTACCTCTAATGTGAAAAAATTGTTATAAATAGTTACAAGGTAATGTGGACACATTATTTAAGAAATGATATCGTTAAATTCATCTGCAAAAACCTGATAAAAAATAATAAATATTCCAAGGATTCGTCATTCAAAGAACATAAAGACCTGTCAGCTTTTTAAAGTAATGTTATGAAGACTTTGAAAGGTAAAGATGTACAAGTATACCGATACTTTTTTTACTTTTATTAGTTGCAATGCGATTCTTTAATTTTTGTTCATAGCTTTAGTAACGATTGTTTGACTTGACTGGATCAAAAAAATACGATGAGCGAGCAAATCGTCAAGGGAACCAGTGTGTTCATATGTCCGGGAAAGCTTTCGCTTA